CAACCTTCCAAAGGTAGATGCCATCTACCTTTTGGTTAAATATTCCAAAAACATTTATTACAACATGCCGTAAGTTTACCCAAATATCCGCCTTATAAGCTCCAAAGCCTTATTTTGTAATCGAAAACCAACTCCACAAATTTTCCAAAATCCTTCTTTTGACCACTTCCAGCCCCAGAGTCACACCTTCAAAAGTCCTTCTATTCCTTTCTTTCCATATTTCCCATAAAATCAATGCTCTGGAAATTTTTCACAAAATTTGACTCCCTATTGGATTACCACCAAGTTCCAGGTGAGCAAAAATATTGATTTGTTCATTGGGCAGCAATACATAAAATCCCATCAAACCAAATGCCCATCCTCATATAGCACTTAAAAAGGACAGTGCAGAAAAAAGATGGCCCCCATTCTCTCCCTTGCGATACCCACAACTTCGACACCTTCGTTCCACAACTCCGACACCTTCGTTCCACAACTCCGACACCTTCGTTGATTGGTTCACAGCTCTCGCAAACAAATCAAGATAAGATAACTTGAAAGCGTAATTACCTACCCATTTGTGATGCCAAATGTTAATCTTATTGCCTCTGCCTACTGCTCATCTAATATTTCTGCTCATCAATTCCTTAACACCCCAAATTCCTTTCCAAATTTTCGAAGCTTGCTCTCTCCTAAAAAGCCATCTTCCCATAAAAGATTCCCTACTGAAGCCATATTTAACCTCAATAACCTATGTCCATAATTGGTCCTCACAACTTAATGTTGTCTGCCACAATTTGGCCAACAACGAAAAATTAATAAGTTTTAACTTTCTGATCCCCAACCCACCCTCTATCTTCGGAGCACAGACCTTATTCCAACTCATCATGTGAGATTTGACCTTTTTATCAATATTACCTCAAAGGAAATTCCGCATCAATTTCTCAAGGTCCTTACAAACTGAAGAAGGCATCGAAAGAAGTGACATCTGATAAATATGAATATTTGCTAAACAAGATCTCACAAAGGTTATAGGTCCACCCAAAGATAAGGTTTTTATCTTCCATAAATCAAGCTTCCCATGCATCCTTTTGACAACAGGGTCCTATATTGATCTGGATAATCTGGAATCAGAGAGAGGTAAGCCCAGGTAGGTGATAGGGAAAGAGTGTGCCTTGCAACCAATAATAGAAGCAATTTGATCAGTCAAACGTGTCTAATAATTTACCCCTACCAATGATGTATTATTGAAATTAACTTTTAGCCGTAACACCACTCACAAGTAATAAAAAATTTAGTGAGATACTGAACTTGGTAATCATCTACCCCACATAAAATAATAGTGTCATCTACATATTGTAAATGTGAACATATGGGCCCTCATTAGCCACTTGAAACCCTGTTATTTTGCCCAAATGCTCAGCCCTAGTAATCAGCAAGCTAAAAGCCTCTGCCACCTTGGTAAAAAGGAAAGGGGATAGAGGATCACATTGTCTCAAGCCTCTTGTTGCACCAAAAAAAAGACCTTTTGGAGAAACATTGACTAACACTAATAAATGGGCACTAGTGATACAACCCTGAATCCATTGTCTCCATTTAGTTCCAAAATCCATTCGCTCCATAATGTCCAACAATATTTGTCATTCCACCCTATCATAAGCTTTTTCTATATTTAGTTTCAAAATAATTCCTATACACCTTGTGAAAATCTTGAATGAATACTTTCTTGGGCAGCAAAGACACTATCTATGATAATTCTATTTTTCACATATACGGATTGGGGTCCCTTGATAATAGAAGGAAGGACCAAGTTAAGACTTTCAGCAAGGATTTTGGCAGTACTTTTATACAAGCTTCCAAGTAAACTCATCAGGCAAACATCAAAACTAGATGCAATAACATCTTTTTTTGGAATTAGGGCAATATAGGTAGAATTTATGCACCGATCAATAACGCCTCTTTCGATAAACTCCTCCACCATATCCATGAGATCCCATTTTAATTCTTCCCAAAACTTATGAAAAAAATGCCAAATGAAAGCCATCTGGTCCCAGTGATTTTCCCTCTGAGAAAGAGAAAACCATTCTTTTCAATTCTTCCATCGTTTCTAGGACCTCCAAGTGGGTTACAAAATTATCAGAGGGCACACTAAATGGAACATCTTCCAAATAAACATCAAATTTCTGTTCAGAAGTGAAGACCTTTTGAAAATGTTGAATAAAACCATTTTTCCACATAATAACATCACCCTCCATTACACCCTGAAAAGCAATACTAGATATATCATTCTGGTGCCGCCTAGCATTGGCGATAGCAAGAAAGACATTTGTAGTTTGGTCACCCTCTTTGAGCCATTGTAGTCTCAACCGCTGCTTCCAAAAGATTATGCAATAAATGTTGGAGCTCTCTTCTTTCATCTAACTGTTGCACAGATAACAACCCCAAATGTTGCACTTCCTAGTCAATAAGATGAATGCTCCATTTATCCTCCTTTCGATGATATAGAATCTACTATTTTTCTTCTATTCTATCAATTTGTGTTTAACAATTTACTATTTTCTTCTATTCTATAAATTTGTGTTTAACAATTTACTATTTTTCTTCCATTTTAGTGTCTACGGTTGTTCTCTCTCTCACATATATCCTTTATACGTTTTTAGTCTTATTGGGTGTTTTAAAACACTGATTAGTAAGGCGAACCGTTTTGCACAATCTATGATGGTTGTTGGATTGCCGATCTGGTTCAGTCTGAATCGGTGATCCAAAAAAAATTAAAAAATAAAATATGGATTTATATAGTGGAGATTTGAAGGGATCCAAAAGCATTAAACAAGCTTAAAAAAAAGAAAGAATATGTATATATATATATAGAAAAGGTCTTCCCAACGTCTATAGGCAAAAATGAACAGTGATTTCACCTACCCCCATCATCGTCCAAAGTTCATCGCACGGTCATGATTGTCCGATAGTGTTTCAATTTTCAGTTTTTTTCTATAAATCAGAATGATCTGAATTTGGAGTGTGTGTTTTCAAGTAATGTGGATTTGTAGAAAAAAAAATGAAAATTAAAATATTACTAGATAACTATAATCGTGCGATGTAGTTTGGAAGGTGAAGAAAGTAAGCGAAATCACTGTTCATTTTCGCCTATAGGCGTTGAGAAGAGTTTTTCATCTCTCTCTCTCTCTCATATATATATATATATATATATATATAT